CTTGTAAAGACATGAGGATAAGGAGTGTGGAGAAATAAAGGGATCCCAAAGCCATGCACTACTTATGGTCCTCCACCAACTCAGCCAGCCCACAGAGGTAAGAAGGTAAGTAAGAACACATAGACTCTTAAGGTAAAGTTGAAGAAGAGTCAATGAGTCTGGATGGTTTGATGAAGTTAGAAGACAGTACTTAAGTGTGGTATTAGCACAAAACAGAGATGTTTTGAAGAATGAACCAACTGAAAGAATATTTTCAAAACCAAATCTATAAATACTGCCTGTCGTCTCCAACTACCTATATTGGGGGCCACCTAATTTTATGTATGGGTAAAATTCTTGAAATGATGGTTCCACAGTTTTACCCTGCTATAAACTCTACAAGCAATCCACAATATTGATCTTGGCAAGATATGCCCATGGGTTCAATAGTGGTATGCATGTTATGAGGGTAACCAAATGCTTTCTGGGGGAGCCCCCACACCTATCTGTAGAACTATTTAGAGTTGATGACTGCTGGGGAAGGAGTTGGTTTTCTTTAGGGGTGTGATCCCTGGCAGGCTGATCATGCTCCAGTGACGGCCCCACACTCATGCATATATGCACAGCACTAAATAGACTCAGTGGGCTACATATGAAAATAAGGAGGAAATGAAGTTGGAAGGGAGACATAAGGGGAGAATCCAGAAGGAGCTGGTGGGTGGGAATGGAGGGAGAACATGATCAAAATACATTATAAGAATGTATGAAACTCAAAAATAGAAGTGTTACATAAGGATGACATACTGATGGTTCCTGAGACTACATTTTCCTCATAGCTTTCGGTTCTGCTATATATTTTACTATGCTTATATTTCCTGTTACCAAAACCAGGTAAGTACAGAGAAAGAGACAGAAAGGAAGGGAGGGAGGGAGGGGGAGGGAGGGAAGGAGGAAAGGGGAGGGAGGGAGAGAGAGGGGGAGAGACAGAGAGAGAGAAATTATAGGTTTATCTCTCTAATGAATAACAGTGCAAAAAATTGTCAAAAACTACTTGCAAACAAAATTCAATTAACACAATAAAAAGATCATTCACCATATGACCCAGCTTATATTTCTGGGTATATACCTGAAAGATTTTCAGGAAACATACCATAGGAATATCTGTAAGTCCATGTTTATTACAGCACTGTTCATATCGGTCAAGTTATAGAATAAGCCTAGGTATCTGTCAACAGAATATGAAGAAATAAATGTGGTATACACAATGGAGCTATACCCAGCCATGAGGAAGAATGAAATTTTGTCATTTGCTAGAAAGTGAATGCAACTGGAGAATATAAGTAAAGTAAGTCACACTCTGTCTGACTTTAAACACATAACATCATATATATTGCATGTAATTTGAAAGTAGAAAGGAATTTGTCTGTGGGAAGGAAGTAGACTAGTGAGAGGAAAGAGTGGGGAGAAAGTGGAGACTATGGGAGGGTGGAAATAAGGTCAAAGTACATGAAAATGTCTATGAAACCTATCACTATGACTGTGAATACATGTCCACAGAAACTGAAAGTAAATAAAAGAAAGCATGCTTATTGCAGAGACCATGACTGGGTACTGACTTCCTCTGCATCTGCTGAAATGTACTGTCTCTTTCTGCAAGCACACCACATCACAGTCACCAACAGTGGCCCTCCCTCCTCTTTCATTCCTGACTTTGGTCACGTCTATCTTTGCTATATTGTTCTATTTAGTCAGCGCAGCTAAAGTCTGCCAATTTTTCTGATCTTTCTAAGCAATCACTTTTGCTTCATTGTTTTTCTCTACTTTCCTGTATTTATACTTTCACTGCTTGCTCTACTCTCTGTTCCCTTCTTCTGCTTCTGGAGACAGACACTTAAGCTTCTCTTTCTCTGTTCTTAGGGTAAATTTTAAGCTGCTGACTTAAGATTTTCTGTTTGGACACAGACAGATAGGTGTTTTGAGATAAAAATTTTTCTCTAAGCACTGCTTTAGATACAATGCATGAATTTTAATGTGCCACATTTTTGCTTTAGTCCAGTCCAAAATATTTTCTGATTTTCCTTGTTATCATCCTTGACACATGAATTATTTAAAAGTATATTAATTTTGAAGTATGCGAGAATTTCCCAGATTTCTTTTGTAATTTATTCCTAATTTATGATAGATTGGGTCAAACAATGTACTTCTTCTTTTAATCGTTTTAAATTCATTAAGGCTTGTCTTATGGCCAAGCACATCGTCTATCTTAGAGAATGCTCCATGAGTGCTTGCAGTCACTGGGTGGGGTGATTTAAATTACCACCCAAGTCTCAAATCCACCACTGAGAGGCACAATCAATACCAAAGCAACATGATGAAACCTTTGACGCTCAGTTGAAGTGAATCTACCCACACCAGAGACTTATGCTCTGAAATGAACTCAGCATCATCTAAGGAATCAGAACAACTCAGGTTACAAAACATTCAGTATATACATTCTTTTATTCAACAGGACTTTGAGACATTTTGTTAAGGGTTATCAATAACCCATTCCTTTTAACTGCTAAGCAATATTGGTTACCCTTTCATCTACCGAGTAACATCTACATTACTGAAGTTCAGGGCATTTGTGAATAGAGCTGCTGTCAGTGTCTGTGCATACATTCTTGTCTGGCCATGATTTTATTTCTCTCAGTTCAAAGCATAAAAATGAGCAGCTAACATCTGGCATGTTTAACTTTTTAAGGAGCCAGCAATCTTTCCAAGGAGCTATCCTATTTTACATGCTTTCTAACCACATTTAAAAGCTCCAGTTGCATTGCATCTTTGCCAACACTTGGTATTGTCCACTAACCTTTATGATTTTAGCCATTCTACATAATGCAGAATGGTACCACATATTGGTTTTAATTTGCATCTCATTACTGAGTGGTGATGTTCAGCATCTTTTCATGTGCTTGTTAGCTATTAACATATCTTCTAAGAGGTGTCTGCTCAATTTTTTTGCTTATTTTTGATTGATTCATTTTTTTTCTTATTGAGTTGTATGATTTCTTTCATATTTTAGACACAAATTCTTTGAAATATAGGCATTATAAATCTTTCCTCCTATCCTCCAGCTTTTTCTTTTGTTGTTATTTATTGGAGTCCTTCAAAGAGCAAAAGCTTTTAATTTTGATGAAATTCAATGTGGCAATTTTAACTGAAATTTAATTTCTAGTTTTATTGCATTGTGGTAAACAATATATCTTCTCTGAGATGTCAAGTTTCAGAAATATAACGAAGCTCTCTTTATGCTCCACGGAATTCTATAACTGCTTCATAAAAGTAAAACAGACTTAGTATATTGTCTCTAAATGGTAGAAAGTAGAATATGAGTCTGGCCCATGCCTCTCCTCCCCTAGACTATTAAACGGGAAAAAAATATGAAAACATCCCATAAACACCATCTAATTTTTAGGCTAAAATTCTTGATGGTATGCTTAAATATTCCTCCCTGGAGTTTTCTCTTTTGATATTTTCTCGATTCCTCTAGTTTTTAGCCTGTCTGAGAGCTTCCTATGAGCTCTCTAAAACATGTGCAGCAGACACCCAGCCTAGGGCCTAGTCCCTGATCACAACAGGAGTTGGGATTCACAGCAATGGGGCAGGGATAGAAAGTCTCTCCCCCCAGTACAGTTTCAGCAGAAATGCAGCTTTTTTTCATGGGCACCAAGTAGAAAACAGAAAAAGTGAGCTCTCCAACTCTACTCACAGGGACCAAATCCCCACTCAGTACGAGTGGAAATTAGAATTGAGAAAAATCACAGAAATAATAAGCACAGTTTTAAACTGTAAAGGCTACAGGGCTCATTTAAGAGTCAAGCAGAAAGCTTTCTTCAGGGACATTTCTAGCAGATTTAATTTTAAATAAAGCATCACCTATAATGCTTTAGTTTATATACACACAGTATTACTGATTGTGGATTCTTCATAATGAATATTTAGGTAGTTGAAATAACTGCCTTTACTCTTTCACAAATGTTTCATTTTCTTTTAAAACCTAAAAAAAAAATAAAACCCACAAACATTTAACTTACAAGAACTGAAAACAATCTCTGTCCTCCTGAACTGTCAGCTGAAAATAGTTCATTGCAACTGATCAATAAAACAGTACTTAGGGAGCATTCTGAAACACAGACTTGGTCAGCTTGAGCCCTACTCTGTAGAAGCCAACAGTAATGGCTTTTCCTTACAGGCTCATCCATCTTCCCAGGCAAGATGCATGCTTCTCATGATCACTTCCTAAAGGGACTTCAGAACTTTTCACAGATCATTCTGTCACTGTTTCAAGAATGAATCAAGGTGGGGGGGGGGTCGTCACATCCTTTCTCGTTCTGAATCTCTGACCCAACTGAATTGCTGCCTTTAGCAAAGCTTTTCTTTTCTTTTTACATAAAATTTATTTTTAAGTTTTTTTGAGACAAAGTCTCACTGGCCTGGAATTCACTATGTAGACAGGTTGGCCTTGAACTCACAACCATGCCCAGCCCTTATTTTTAATTATGTGTATGTGTATGAAGGTATGTGCACATGAGTGCAGGTGCTCACAGAGGTTGATGGATCCCTTGGACCTGGAGTTACAGGAGATTGTGAGCTACCTGCCATGAGTACCAAGAACTGAGCTCAGGTCCTCTGCAAGAGTAGTCTATGCTCTTAACTGCTGAACCATCTCTCCAGCCTCAACAGCATTTTTTAAAAAAGTGAAATGTTTAGTTGTGAGCCTACGTCTTTAACAGCTGTGCATCTCTGCTGGGTCAGTCTTCTTAAGGGTATAAATCTGGGTAGGTTAGCCAGCCTCCAGTGGATGGACCCATAAAGAAGGGCATATATATATAAAATAGAGTACATGAAATGGGACGGAGGTTAGTAAGGAGAGGGTGCAGATAGCAAAGGAGATCTAAATCTAATCAAAGTATAGTCCAAAATTCAATAAAAAGTGAAATGTTTCAGTACTCAAAAAGGGCAGTGTGGTTACCTCTTACCTGCTCTTTCATTTCAGCATAGACCTTCTCAGAGTTCACTTCCACCTGCCTCTTGAACTCTTCCAGAGCAGCATCTGCTTGCTGGGCCTGCAACCTCTGAACTTCTGTCACACATGTGAGCTGCTCTTCTTTCTCCCTAGAAAGTTCAAAAAGGCTTTAGAATTAAAGTAAAAAAGAACTAGCTTCAATGAAAGGACAGTAATTAGCCTCTAAAATAAAATTCAGACCTCACTTTCTGACCCACATTCTACTGAATTTCCCTTTCAAAAGCTGACAAAGCAATTTGTCTGGGAGAGGATATAAATATACACTATTTATTTTGATGAGGACAAAACCACATTCCAGGATTTCCTTAAAAACTGTATTAAGCCTTGTGTCTCCACCTACTGGTGAACAGATAAAATGTGGTATACCCATAAAATGGAGTATTATATTACTAAGACTTAAAAAGCAGGGAAGTCCTTGAAAAATGCTATAACATGGATGAATCTTCAAAATATTAAGGCAGGTGAAAGAAGTCAGTCACAAAAAACAAAATCACATATCATATGATTCCATTTATGTGAAAAACCAAGAATAGAAAAATTTATGGAGGCAGTAAATGGATTATTGTCACTAGGGACTAGAAGAGTGGGGAGCTGGAGATTGGTTACTAATCTGTATGTGGTTTCTTTTTTAAAATGGGCATAATATGGAATTAGAAAGTGGTAATGATTACAAGTTCTTTTATTAAAATCAACAAAATTGTGCTCTTTAAATAAGTTAATGTTATGGAGTTTGAATTCTATTCAAGGTTTTAAAATGAACTAATATCCAATAGAAATATACCTGTGTACCATCAATTGCCCTGCAGATAGTCAACGCAACAGAGTGATATGGTGGCCTAAAGCTTTTCTACTACCATCTAGTCCACTTGCCTAAAACTGACAGCCATCTCATCTGTTCACACATCAGGCTGTAATCATATACACAAAAGAGTGTAGCGGAGTAATAAAAATCTCCACATGTTGAGAGGACAAAAGTAAAGACATTAATTTATTAATTCAAGTTCAAATTAAAGTTCAAGTTCATGTTCTGACTAAGATCTTTGCATTAAGCAAGATATTTTTTATATATCCTTTTTCATTCATTTTCACAGTTGTTCTCCTATATGAGAGTTAGTATATCCTTCCTTCTATAGTACAGGAAACCAGGGCTTAGACACTTCACTTCCAAAGTGATCTTCCTTGCAAGAGCTCAATCCAGGAAGCCATTAACTGGAGTCTGATCTAGAGCTTCTGCTGCTGGCTGCCTTGTTGTGCTGCATCCCAGGTTAACTTGCCTCGTTTTCCCTACGCGGGAAGTTCACACATCCGTGAGACACTGCTTTATTACTGACTGTGACCATTAAGACTGCTGGGAGTCCCAGCAATTTAACTCACACAAATCGAATTTTAGATGAATTCTATCATCATGGGGGGAAAAGACAATTCTGAACTATGATGTCACTGTCTTCTAAGAGGTGGGCAAAAAGTACATGAGCTTTTTGGAGTTACTTAGATCTGAGTTTTTAAAAATCCTCTAAGATACATCATTTTTATGTTTTTCTACAAAATAATGTATGTATATTATATATCAGAATGACAAACTTTCTCCCTCACTGCAAATTGGAAACCTTTATCAAAGCTTAAGAGACCAAAAGACTGATACAAAAAAGTAGTACCCATCTTCCATTTCAGCAGGCTTCTCCTGTTTTTCTTTAATTACATAGTATATAGAACTGTTCTTTCCAGATTCCATCACCACCCTATCCTGTGTTTGCACATGGCATATCTATAACTAAGAAGCTCTTTCCATATGGGCTCAATGAACAGACCATTAATCCATTAATCTTTACTTAATTTAAGTACCACTTATGTCCATCCCTTCACATCCTCCCCCACATCTGCACCCTAAATAATAATCATTGCACTATACCCCCATAACAAACCAATGACTTCCATTGGACTCCTTCATCTTCTTACTGAGATGGCCAACATTTTATGATCTATAGGATTTAAGACAGCTCCAAAGCATGTGATGCTCTGCATGGGAACTAAATTATTCTAGAACAGGCTGCATGCCAAATGCTGCTCACAGCTACTGTATTTTGCAACAGTGGAGAAAAGTCTTCTGCAACTGTGAAAGTTATTTAAGTTGTTCATTTTACTTATTGTATATGTGTGCATGTGTGTGGGAAGGCACACATGTGTGTGCAGGTGTATGTGTATTTGTCTAAATGTGCATGCAGAAGCCAGAGGACAACCTCAGGTGTTATTATTCAGGCATCACCAGCTTTTAAAAAATATTTTATTTATTATTTTTATTTTATGTGTCTGAGTGTATTTCCTGCTAAGTGCACCCAGGTCATGCAATACCCACAGAGCTCAGAAGAGGGCATTGGAACCCCTGGAACTGAAGTTGTGAAACAGTTGTTTGTTGCCATGTGGGTGCTGGGAACTGAACCCAGGTCCTCTGTAAGAGCAGCCAGTGCTCTTAACCACTGAGCCATCTCTCCAGCCCCCATCAGCTTATTTTTATTTTTATTTTTTGAGGCAGTTTCTCAGTGGTCTGAAACTTGCCAAACGGGCTATTGCCAGGTGGCTGGTCAATGAACCAGGGGATCTGCCTGTTTCCACCTCCTTGGTGCTGGACTTAAAAGTGTAAACCATAACACTCAACTTTTTTACATAGATTCTGGGGATCAAACTCACCTTACCAACCAAGCCAGCTCCTTAGCCCTAAGTTGTACATTTTAATAGAAAGGGAATTGATATACTAAGTGAAGTAACAGACTCAGAAAAACAAGCAACATGTTCTCTCATTCGTGGATCTTAGCGCCAAATCCCTATATGTGAGTATACATCCTGATGTAACTGCAGGCCAGGAAAATGGAAAGGAACCATGGGGGTAAAAAGGAAGAAGGCACTTGAGAGAGGAGGATAGTAGGAGACAGGTGTTATTAAGGGGGAAATGGGGAAAGGGAATGTACTTTAACTGGAGAGGGAGTAGAGAGGGTTATACAGGGGTGGAGGGAAAGAAGAGAAATAATGTTTGGATGGTATATAAAAACAGAGGGAAATTGATTCATTCAAAGTTCTACTGAAAAATATACATACCATAAATATATGAGTACATGTGTGTATAGCTAAAGGCTATATAACAAAACAAAACAAAACAACAACAACAAAAAAACAGTGCCAGGCAGAAGAAACCTTCCTTTGAGTTGTTGGTCAGAGCAGTTTAAGAGACTCCCAAAAAAGCACAGGCTATTACCATAGCCCTTGACTGTCACCCAGAACTTGAAGGTAAGACTCTATTGCTGAAGATAGGCCACACTTCAAAAAGAGGACTTGGAGCAATTGAGCTGGAACTGACCTGGAAGCCACCCTCCTAAAGACTAGCTTTCATGGTATCAGAGAATACTATACAAGCTGCCAAGAAAGAAAACTAATCAATGGTCCTACCCAGCTATGAAGTCTAATAAACAATGACTGGCCCAGCAAACTATCACTGTTGGTGCAGTAATGGTACTTTTATCTCGGTAGTATTCAACAGCTGACTAACTGGAATTAAGGCCCATTCAATGGGAGGGAGCTCATGTGTGGTACTGTAAACAGAGCCAAATACATATGGCTAGAGAGGTCACAGATCCTAGAGAAAAAGCTTCTTTTGCCACTCCATAGACCAACATGATTTCTTGCTGTGTTCTAAACATGCATCCTCATATTTACAGACAAGTGTGCTTTTCACCCCTCATCAAAGAAACTTCATTTTGCAACAGATGGAGACTATTACAGAATTACAGAACTGATCAAATGCAAAGAATAGTATCTATGAGATGCTTAACCCTACGTGACTCATATTCAATGCAACTTCTACACATAGGGGGAATGCATCTCTCAGTTCTCACCAGTTTCCTTATGCAGCAGATGATGATTAATACAGAGACCCACAATTGGCCAATGTACAGAGAACAAGAGGATACAGAGTGCTTATCCCTGATTAGGACACCTATTTCAAACCTCTGACTCCCAAGGCTCAGAGGGATCACTGTGGAAGAGGAGGTGGAAAGATTTTAAGAGTGAGAGATGATAGATGACCACAAAGAAATTGAGTCTTCCAGATAGCTTATTTACTCAAATAAACTCACACAAATTTCTACAGCATTCACATGTCCTATGCAAGCGCAATCAGACAAAATCCCAGCACAGACATGTGAAAGTAGGTAAGAAATCCCAACTTAAGGAACTTCTGGCAATTGTTGGCTACTGGGAAGGGGAAATACATGTCTTACAGGATTGGGATTCCTGCTGGGCCCAGTGGATGAATGACATTGGGGGATACAAATCATCCTCCATATACCACACTATGTATATAAGAAATTTCATTAAATTGGCCAGGGGTGGGGGTAGTGGGGTAGGTACAGAGAGGGGAGTGGATTTAAAAGCCATCAAACTATATTGTATGAAAACTGCAAAACAAAATTTTAAAGTAGCAAGCACAGGGAGACATAAGAAATCCCCTAACTGGATTCCAGTTCTACCACATCAGCAGAGCTAATAAACTAGCAAAGCTAAATGTAAAAGGTCTTACTCAATGCAAATCAATGTTCTTTTTTAGTAAAGCTGTTGCAGACATTTACCTCCACTAATATTCAGGATTCTTCCACTTTAATATAAATTGTCTTTATTTTAATTTAAATAAAGGAATGATAATCATTTTAATCAGTGTCATTAAATTTGTACAAGCTGCTGACACAGAAGTGAAAACTTTGAGCCTTTGGAACAAAGATCTGTTCCTAGGTTATATGAACACTGTCTGTTTCTACCATGATCCCAAACAGCACATTCTACAAGAGGCAAACAGGAAAAAAAAGTGACTTTCAAGATAATTTTTCAGTGGAAATAGTTGTTGGGTTAAGTATTAATGCATCACTCAAATGCTTTAAAGCTGGGCCTCCATGAAGATAAAAAGGTGGAAAGAAAATTCACTTTTTAGCTCTGATTTGTTTAGAAAACCCAGTAAATTTTCCTCATCTAAGTATATAAAGGATAGAGAAAAAAGAAGCTGCATTCTTGCCCGACCACAACCCAGCTCAGATTAAAGGATGTTGTG